CAGTCCACTTTTCGTTATCGATCGATGTCGATTTTACCGATTTTTATCGATTTTTTTGCAGAGTTCACCTACAGGGCTAGGAGTTGGCACAGGGGGGGGGGGAAGTGAGCATGGGGATTCCGAATACAATATTAGTTTTCGGAATTATCGATTACTTTTATCGATTTTATCGATTTTTTGTAAATTTTGACATGCGAGGCTGGGATTTTGCACAGGGGGATCGAGCATGCTGATTACGAACACAATATTAGTTTTCAGGATCGTCCATTACTTTTATCGATTTTATCGATTTTTTTGTAAAGTTTGACCTGCGGGGCTGGGAGTTTGCACAGGGGGTAATCGAGCATGCAGATTACGAATACAATATTAGTTTCCAAGATCGTCCATTACTTTTATCGATTTTATCGATTTTTTGAAAATTTGAGCTAGGGGGCTGGAATTTGGCACAGGGGTGTAATCGAGCATGCTGATCATCCCCCTTGGCAAAAAATCGATAAAATCGATAAAAGTAATCGATAATCCCGAAAACCAATATTGTATTCGGAATCCCCATGCTCGATTACCCCCCTGTGCGAACTCCCAGCCCCGTAGCTCAAACTTTGCAAAAAAAATCGATAAAATCGATAAAAGTAATCGATAATCCTGAAAACCAATATTGTGTTCGGAATCCCCATGCTCGATTACCCCCCCGTGCCAACTCCCAGCCCCGTAGGTGAACTCAGCAAAAAAAATCGATAAAAATCGATAAAATCGATATCGATCGATGACGAAAAGTAGCCTATGACACCCGCCGGGGCCCGAAGTGTATGTGTGCCAAGTTTGGTCCGGATCGGTTCAGAAATGGAATTTTCTATTCGGAACATACGTACACACATACATACAGACAGACAGACATACAGACAGACAGACAGACAGACAACAGACATTCAGCTTTATATATAAGATATATATATATCAGTGGCGGTCCCAGGATTTCGGACCGGGGGGGGGCGGAAAAATTTTTTTTTCAAATGAAGGTGCGCGGCGTTAGCCACGCACTCCGAAAAAATTTTGAGTACTTCTCAAAATTTTTGCGGGTCCCCAACCCCTAAAATCTGGAAAAAGGGGGCGTGGCGTCAGCTACCCCCCCGAAAAAAATTTTTTATAAGGCTAATTTGAATTTTTAAAAAATTTTAAAAATTATTTTATTTATTTACGAAAATAAACAAGTCGTTTGCACATTTTTATAATCCATATAGGTATTTCAAAAATTTCGCGACCCATTCTCGGGGGGGGGGGGGGGGGGGCCGCCCCCCCCGCCCCCCCCCCCCCCCTCGGACCGCCACTGATATATTAGGTGGGTGCAAAAGTTCGTTCGCCAGTTTTTCAAAAAATCGTAACTTCCTTCCAACTCGATGAATCTCTTTGATCTTATACTCGTTTAGAAGAGAAAACCTTTCTCTTTACAGCAGTGCGTTTGCCATGAATTGGCATGAGAAAGTTCGAAAGTTAAAAGCAATTGAAGGAAAGTACTCAGGGTTGACATTTTTCAAGCAGGGTCTCGAAAAATTCTGGAAGTATTTTTGTATGATAGAGAAAATTATGCTCTTCACGATAGTGCCTTTCACATGAATTAAAACGAAAAAGATCGAGAGTTAGAAGCAAATAAAGGAAGTTACTTCAATTTTGCAATTTTTGAGCATGCTCAAAAAAGCCTAAAAACATCACAGAAAGGACGGAAAAGTCATAAACATGGGTTTTGTAACCTTCTCTTTCTAGATGAGTGAGTTTCGTGCTAATCGCGAGCAATTTTGTTTTTGAAAAACGCACACCCGAAAATCCGAAAAATCACGAAAATCAAAATCGCTCTCGATCAGCTCGAAACTCGCTCAGCTAGAAAGAGAAGGTTACAGAACCCACGTTTATGACTTTTCCGCCCTTCCTGTGATGTTTTTAGACTTTTTTGAGCATGCTCAAAAACTGCAAAACTGAAGTAATTTCCTTTATTTGCTTCTAACTCTCGATCTTTTTCGTTTTAACTCATGTGAAAGGCACTATCGTGAAGAGCATAATTTTCTCTATCATACAAAAATACTTCCAGATTTTTTCGAGATCCTGCTTGAAAAATGTCAATCTTGAGTACTTTTCCTCAATTGCTTTTAACTTTCGAACTTTCTCATGCCAATTCATGGCAAAGGTACAGCTGTAAAGAGAAAAGTTTTCTCTTCTAAATGAGTATAATATCAAAGAGATTCATCGAGTTGGAAGGAAGTTACGATTTTTTGAAAAACTGGCGAACGAACACTTGCACCCACCTAATATACAGGGTGTCCGTAAAAAATGTGCCTACTGTTTGATTGTGAATAACTCTCTTCTAACGAAGTCTTTCGAGAAGCTTTAGGCACCATTTTGTAGAGCGAGGTTTAACTTAGATTTGCAGTATAGAGCGAATCACCGAGATCTTTTTATTACTGTAGGATTACGGTAGGAACTTTCAGCATATGGAACCATCGTGAAATATGCCGCCTGACAAAATTTTTTTGCAAAAAATCTGAAAAATTGTGTGCTAGGGTTTTCGCGCACGCTGATTCCACTACACAACTTTTTACGGGTGTTTTCAGCTTTTTTGACGGTGTAATCACATTTCTGAAAATGCTGGAAATTCAATTATTACGGTTCACCTGGGGTAACTTAGGAAAGAGGCACCACAGTAGAGTGGAAATTTCATATTCGAAAAGAGCGGCTTCCATTACCATAGTGTAAGAATTTCCGGCTTGTTTGGTTATGTTCCGAGGCAGATTATGGCCTCCAAAGACCTAAAATCCTTGTCGAAGTTCCTACCGTAATCCTACAGTAATAAAAAGAGCTCGGTGATTCGCTCTATACTGCAAATCTAAGTTGAACCTCGCTCTACAAAATGGTGCCTAAAGCTTCTCGAAAGACTTCGTTAGAAGAGAGTTATTCACAATCAAACAGTAGGCACATTTTTTACGGACACCCTGTATATATATATTATATATATATTTATATTTATATATATATTTATATATATATATATTAGGTCGTTTCAAAAGTAATTTCGCTTTTTTCAAACGGGCGCCACACTTGACGGAACAAAGCTTTCAAGAGATCTTGAAGGCTTTCGATGCAGAATTTCATTCTCTTTCTAATGGTTATGAAACTGTTGCAAAACAGTTAACGAGCTTTCAGAAAATAATCAAAATCTGCGACCCATACTTTTTGAGATGGTCAAGTTTCACGATTTTTTAAAAATTTCGTATCAATCCTCAGAAGGAGTTCAAGTAAAGATTCGATAGAGTTAGCCTTACAGAATACAGTACTGCTTTTTTCTCTTTCTCTTAGCTCGCCGTAACTTTTTAAAAGATTTTTTAGCAGAACCATCGGATTTTGGCAGGCCCACCTAAGCCACAATCGCATCAAACATCAGTAATTACTCGGAATTTCAAGCTTTCAAGATGATATATGACTTAATATTGATTTTATTAAGCAAATGAGAGTTTACGGATTCGAAATATCAAATTTCGAGTTTTTCGGGTACAGCCTGGGGCTCGCTAAAAAAATGAGTTATAATGATTTTATCTCCGGAAACTAAACGAATCGGAAACAAAAAACAACTGTTAGAAAAAGGAGAAAAGCTGCATCGAATAGTGCGCGAGCTGCTCTTCTTTTGATGTTCTACGGGGATTTAGCTGCCCAAGTATGGAAATCGGTAGCATCACTTAAAAATGTGTTAAAAATGTAGGACAAGCTATGGAAAGGAGAAAAAAGTAGTTTTGCATTCTGTAGGGCTTGCTCTAGAAAGGCGATACTTGAACTCCTTCTGAGGATGGATATGAAAGTTTTAAAAAATCGTGAAACTTGACCATCTCAAGAAGCACGGGTCGCAGGTATTAGTTATTTTCTAAAAACTCATTGATTGTTTTGCAAAAATTTCATAACCATTAGAAATAGAATGAAATTCTGCATCGAACGCTCCCAAGATCTCTTAGAAACCCTTGTTCCATCACATGTGGTGCCCGTTTGAAAAAAGCGAAATTACTTTTGAAACGACCTAATATTATATATAATCTAAATCAGCTTCAAACGCTGATTCCGAAGATGCTATTCCTAGCTGCCGAACGCCATTCCGAAGCGAGTTATGGACTTTTTGCTGCCCAAGATTGGGATACTCACCGACTCATTTCATCACGACATCATCATCTAAGTGCTAATACACTTGCGTTTTGCTTCTTTTTCGTGAGAAAAGTATGGATTTGTATTATTTCGATATCTCAGCACCTTTTTCTTGCAGATTTTTATCTATAGGCATCTCCCCATTTTCGGTAGTATGCGAATTTTGCGCAGGAAAAAGCCCACAACTGGCTTCGGAATGGCGCGCGGCAGCTAGGAATAGCATATTTGGAATCAGCGTTCAAAGCTGAATCAAAATACATATGTCCCTTGCCAGGCCGAGCTAAGTTAGGTAGCTCCCCTTATACTAGGCATCCAGGCGAAACGGGAAATTCAAATTCCTTCTTAGCTTGGGAGACCGTACCAGCGTATACACTGGCTCCGCATTGCAGTTCGACACCCAGGGCCACCCCCAAACTCGATGAGGCGGCGGACCATAGTGGGAGTTTATTTATTTTTATCAGCCGATTTTTCTAAATATGGAAAATTTGAAGTCGGAATCCCCCGCAAGCAGTATTTCTAAAGTTTTCTGGGTCTAACTGAGTGGAGATAAATGGCTTCACGTGCTGCATAAAGGTTAATAGTGACAGTAACTGAACAATAATGAGTTATCTCACAACACTTCGTAGAGTCTTTTGACTTTTAGCAATTTTCCCTTGTTTTCTTCTTTCTCTTAGCTTGATTGGATGAATATCAAATATCAGCACACAATTGTCGAAAGCTTTGTTGAGCTAGCGGTTACTAATAAGGTGTCGTCGGTTGCAGCGAGCAGTGTGCAGTCTCACATGTTGAGCCAAATGACTCGCGCCTAATTGATGTTACCTTTATAGCAAGATGCAACGATGGAATGGAAGCATGTCTACTTAGCTGTGAACAATATAGCTTCGGGAGCGTTCTTCTCAATTTATCTGATTATTATTTTGATATACTGGATTTGATCAAGATTTAGGATAAAGGTTTGAACTGCGATCGATCTCCATCCTGTGCAATCCTTGTTACCTGCAACTCTATAAAATATGCATAAATTCATAGCATTTTACATGTATTATGATCACCTCGCAGATTCGTTTGGAAGTGGAGCATTGCGGAAGTCTGATAACTTAAATAACTTTGTCTTCAATCTAACTTAAGCATTGCTTTTCGAACTTCTCGCTATCAAAACGCCACGCTTTCAGCTGCCACGTCTTCGCCTTCTGGGAACCGCTGATAGGCCTACGTGCACGGCATGAGCAGGGCTCGGCACGAAATGGCTTTTTCAATTTTTCAAAAACGAAGTCCCTGTAGACTTCGGCACAAAAATACGACATCACCTATGATGCGATCATGAACGTATCAAAACGAGTAACGATAAATAATGGAACAAAACATAAAACCAACATCGAACAGACGAATAAAAACTAAAGCTGTTCGTACTCTCCGAATCGGCGGCATGCTGTGTCCGGCGCGCACCCTTCCGCGCCTGGAGCAGGCTTGCCGCCGCCATACATATTTGGAAGGCTGTAACTAGGCGAGGGTGAGGGGCAGGGCCCGGCACGAGTCGCTTTCTAGGGTTTCTGAAAACGAAGTCTCCTTTGACTTGCACAAGTCTTACGAAGTGCCCTTTGATCTACCTGCTTAGGAAAAGATGAAAACAAGAAAGATTTACTATTTTAAAAGAAAAGACGTAAGATAAGAGTGGAAATCCAAATTGGAGCTGAATACTACGCATGCGCAAGATTTTGGCATTAGAGCGCATATTCAACAAAGCGAGAAGAAATGAAGGCAAAAAAAACAAAGGAAAGGCAATGATATGAAAATGTCTTCATGCTCAGGGATAGATTTTTGACCGGAAAATCCGTCCATGCTAAAAAGATCCGAAACTTATATGAAGTGACGAATGTACAGGGTGCGGCAAAAGTCTGGGAGCCTAGTACTTTTTCGTACAAAACGAGAAGGGAAGTACCTAGAAACGGAAAATTTGGCGCACACATAATTCGAACCATTGCAGATACTGCCCAGTTCTTGAATTGCAAAACTGCCTCTTTTGGCTTTCACGCAGCCCTACAAAATCTTAGCAAGTCTACCTGTCATGGCACGCAGGTAGTCGTAATGGAATTCGCCCACGCCTCCACAATAACTGTCTCTTTTACCTTGGCAAATGCGCAGCATATTAAAGCAAACTTTTGTCTAAAACACACTTCCAAAAGAATTTTTTTCATTGCTTAGGGATAAAAATATTGGATTTTCAATTAGAAGCACGTGTACGTCGCATACCGGAATTTTGGCTACAATTGCGCGAATGAAAACTTAAAAATATCTCTTAAAGATTATAAAAAGTGTTCCCATGGCCGAATTTCAATAGATTCTAATTTAGAAGACGTATGCAATAAATACAGCTTTGGTTCCAGTGCCTGCTGAGCATTCTATAGCTTTTAAATTTGTTCTGAAGACGGATTTCCACTGGCGCGTAGGTAACATTCGCAAACTTTTATTTTCCGTTCATGCAAGAACAGCTCCTGGCAAAAGCAAAACTAGGATACAATAGCGCAAAGCCTCTTCTATGTTGTGTGCAGCGAAGTTTTGTAAAATATTAACAGCATCTCTAGTTACAGCAAAAATTGTAAATGCCAAAAATTCTGGTTTTTTCGCTTTGCAAGAGTACTAGTTTGGTAATTTCCATTCTTACAAAAACATATGGCAGCCATTTCCAGTCAAATAAAGTGTAATCTGTAGAGGATGACCGCAGCATCATGTGGCATAAAATTGAAATCAAAACCATCAGTATCTTTGTAATTGCAGTACTGCAATGTTAGGCTCCCAGACTTTTGCCGCACCCTGTATATGCTCAAGACGATCTCAGATCGTCTGGTGGCCGTCTGGAGACGATCTAATTTTGGAAAAGGTATTACTTCACATAAGTTTTAAAACCTTTTTACATAATTCTTTTGCAAATAATTTTCTATACATACAGTTCGATTTTGGTGTCACATGCTTCTGTGTGCGCTGTAAACAAGCAATTCGTTTATTTTAGCCTTGCTTTTAAATCGCGCGCACTTTTCGCCTCACACGATAGAGCATGTCAATCGTGTAATAACCTGTCCGAAAAGCTTGTGTTCGACTAAATGGTGCTTATTCTTTTGCTCGGTTCCAACTCGTCGAAAACGATATCCACTTTGCTATTTGCTTCAAAAACGAAGTCCAGCCTGCTTCCAGACGATCTGTGCCGGGCCCTGGTGAGGGGGTTTAGGGAGATGCAAAAACTAGGGTTTTTGATGTAGAACAAGGCTGTGTTAAACATGTGAGAAAACTATATGAAGGAAGAGAAATATATGACTTTTTCTTTTCACAGCCACCTCAAGTGGCTGTCCAGATAGCTGGAAAGCCACCTAACTCCAAAGACATATTGCCACGCCTTCAGTTCAAATAATTTGTGCAATTTTTCGCATGTAGTCCTAACTGCCTATTGCCCATCTATACACCGATTTTGGTGTCATTTCATTTTCTCTTCGCTGTAAACGAATCTTTTGTTTATTTCCGGGGAGGTTTGAATTCCCGCGTTGAACCGGCGAACAGTTAAAACGGGAAATTTTTGGTTTTTGCAGATCGATAAGGCACAAATGACAGTTTGCGTTTTCTATAGAAGATGAGTGACATAAAGGCAGAAGGCGATAGTGTGTGTGTGTGTGTGTGGGGGGGGGGTGTGTTCCGCTTCAACGATATCCCCTTTTTTTATTCCAAAACGATATTTAGCTTGCTCCGTAAGCCACTGTGCCGAGCCTGGGCATGAGGCGTGATTACCGCTCAAAAATTTTACCAAACAAAATTTCGATAAAATATAAGAAATTTTACTATATTGACGAGTTGAAACGATTCCTTTACCATTTCAACCTATATAACCACTGTCAGAAAGCCCGCGACATTCTTGCAGGGAAGGAGACACCTACTACCGCTTTCTTTTCCTCGTCCGACACTGTCATCGGACAATTAGAAGATACAGCACCCACATAATTATTCGACAGAAAACGCAAAAACTGACGATCCGCTTTCGTTTTTCTTCATAACCTCCTTCAGATTGCATAAAATATGAATTCGAAAAAAGCATGATGGTCAGCTCGTTAAGATGAATCTTCTGATTTACTGTACTCTATTACTATTCCGTTTTCAGTTTGTTCGATTTTTGTTTGAGGACGGGTTTTCGCAATGGTGTAAGTCAGCAAAGAGCAGACAAGGAAGATTTTAGTAAAAAACTTTCGGTAAAGCTGTCCGCGTAGATTATCAGGCGCTAGCGAATAGCAGGGGACCCCGCTCCCATAGAGAAGGATAGGCCGGCGATTTTTGAAAAAATCGATGTCTCTCAAGTTTTAGCTACCGTAACCATACAGTAAGACGCTAATTTGCAAACCTGGTGTGTTTTTCGTAATCAGCAGGCTAGATAACCTCAATGCGCAAGTTTTCCGAGAAATTCGAGCCCTTTGATTTTTTTCTCGTGCTAGGCTCTGAAGCTCGCCGACGGGTTTTGGCTAAAATATTAATGATCTTGGATTGACCGGAAACTTCGCCTAAGAGGTTTTCGGACTCGTTGATTACGAAAATAGTGCTCTTCGTGCGGCGTAAGCTCTTTTAGCAGAGTTATGCTGAGAGGAATGCTCCGATACGTTTCTCAATTCATCTGCTCTTCTCGCGTCTGTTAGACAACCTACCTGCTCCTTTTTGTAATTTAAAAACACTAAAGACAGTGCTGTCAGAGCAAGCTTGCGTCAGGCCCCTATCTGTATTGATCGCCGAACTGTGAGCTCACGAACTTACGTCCTCATGAAAATCGTTCAAAATTTTTTGATTGCATATTTTGGCCAAATATCGCTGCGAATGGTTACAGATCACTCTTATTGCAGATATTGTGTTTATGTACATTTTAAATTGATAATGCTAATACAGCATACTTGCTTACCCCCTAGACCAACTCTTACACCTGTAGCTCACCTGTAGCTCAAAGTTTGCTAAATATCGATATTGATGGAGTCGGTAAAGGTAATTGTTTTCGGAAACTAATATTGTAGTCAGCACCCTCACTCGTCTACTCATACCAATTCGCAGCTCGGTAGCTCAAAGTTTGCAAAAAATCGATAAATCGATATCGACCGATGACGAAATGTAATTACGAGACTAGCTTGGCCCTTAAGTTGTGTGCAAGATTGGTCTACATTGGTTCAGAGATGCAATTCTGTTGGGAACGCACGCACAGGCACACAAACACATGACAAACAGACATTCACATACGTTTGGTATGGTACAGATAAATAATAACAATAACGTTAGAATACTAAAGTGTGCAATAACAATCAAGCTACAACCATCAGATCTTTGGAAGTACTCATGTTTGTGCTGCAGTTGCCTGTTTCATGACCTCGAAATCTCCAACAAATTTTCGAACATGTTTTGCACCGCGACGCCATACGCGGAAAAACAGCATGGTGTGTTGAACTTTACAGAACACGAAGTGTTCGATTTTCAAAATATGCACAATAATCTTGGTCAGAATCATTACTCAGTAATGAAGCTCTAAGGCCGTCTGTCTTTTTGTCCCCTTGTATATGTATGTCTGTCAGCAGTTCATAAAGCGCGTTGCAGTTAACGTCTGCCACAATTATAACATACAGCACCAGCATGTAAGTCCATCATGCACAGGAACGAGTCGGTCCGATGCGCGCACCTTGAAAATTCCCTTGAATGCGTAACCGCGGGTTTTAGTCTGCAAAACTGGGGCGGTAGACTTTTTGCAAAGCGATGAGTTTGTTGGAAGAACAGACCTGCGACCTATAGACTTTAGCTTCAAAAAGTAACCAAAAAGCCTATTTGTCGCACGGCGCTAAAGAGGAATGATGGCATTAATCCTCGCTCTGTCAAAGTACCATTAAGAAATTAAGATTTTTACTCACAAGGGAAGGCCGCTTGGTCGAAG